TAAACTATAAATTTTGTTTAAATGAATGTATTTTATTTTTTTATTATTAAAGTACAAAATTTAATATATTTATTAAGTAATTATGATGTAGAGTTCAATTTTGAATGACTTGGTGGTTAAATTATTGATGCTTGATTTGGTCATTTTTTAGTTTGATGAATGGTTCGGGTTTTTAAACATGAGAGACTTACGTGTAGGTTTTAATAGGTGGACTTATTATCTAATAGGTCCTATAATAATTAATGACATTTTTCATCAAACACTATTAAAAAATATTACTAATTATTAATTTTCAACAACAATTTGAAAAATTCATCACAGAAAAATGTCACTAATTGTAAGTTTTATAGATAATTTATAAAAACCGTGACAAAAAAGTCACTAATTATTAAGTTTTTGTGACGTTTTAGTGATGTATGTAAGAAATCGTCACAAAAAATTATTTTTAATTACAATTTTAGTAGAACTTATTTTTAATAGGATATGATAAGAATTAAGTTCAATTATTAGGATTTATTTACATTTTACTTTTCAAACATTGGTTTACTTCTCGACAAGAGAAGAAGGAATTTTTTTTTTATTTTTAAAAGAAAAAAGAAAAGAAAAGAGAGAAAGGAGGAGAAGAAAGAGGTGGATTGGGGGGATGGAGTGAACTATAGGTTTTAATAAGTGGACTTATTGTCTAATAGGTCCTATAATAATCAATGACATTTTTCAATCTTACACTATTAAAAAATATTACTAATTATTAATTTTCAATGACAATTTGAAAAATTCATCACAGAAAAATGTCACTAATTCTAAGTTTTATAGGTAATTTATAAAAACCGTGACAAAAAAGTCACTAATTATTAATTTTTTGTGACGTTTTAGTGATGTATGTAAGAAATCGTCACAAAAAATTATTTTTAATTACAATTTTAGTAGAACTTATTTTTAATAGGATATGATAAGAATTAAGTTAAATTATTAGGATTTATTGACATTTTACTTTTCAAACATTGGTTTACTTCTCGACAAGAGAAGAAGGAATTTTTTTTTTATTTTTAAAAGAAAAAAGAAAAGAAAAGAGAGAAAGGAGGAGAAGAAAGAGGTGGATTGGGGGGATGGAGTGAACTATGGCCTTCAGGAAAAAGACTTACCACTAAAGACAACAAAGTTGGAGTAACAATCTAAAGATGAAAAAGGATTTGATATAGGCGTTTTTCTTGACAATAACATGTGTATATTCACTACAATAAATTATATTTTTAGTGATTAAATTTGTTGATTAAAAAAAATTAATCGTCAAAAATTCCACAATTAAAAGGACGATTTGTTAGTGTTAGTTTAGGATTTAGACTACTAAATATTTTTTAGTCGTGGTATTGCAATTTTTGTAGACTAAAAAAAGGTTAGTCGTCAAAAGTACTACAATAGGTGACAAAAAAAAAACTATTGGTCACCTTTAGTTTAGGTTTTAAGCTACTAAATATTGTTTGTCAAAATATATTAATTTTTTTCAACTAAAAAAAATTTAGTCCTCAAATAACTATCATAATTTTGCTTTTAATATTGAGTCCGAATCCTCTGTCGCGTTTCTCTGCGGTCGTCCCTGCGGCGCCCCAAAACGACATCGTTTTGGGGTAAAATTTCAAAAAAAAAAAAATGATGCAAAAACACAGAATCAGAAGAGGGAGAGGGAGAGGGAGAAGGAGAAAGCACGGGGAGAGAGAGAGAGAGAGAGTGGAAAGCAGCCTTAAGCAAGCACCTGGGCTACAATGGCACCACCATCGGATTCAACCCCTATGGCGATCTCTGGCGCAACCTCCGCTACATCACCACCATCCAGATCTTCTCCTCTGCCAGCCTCCACCACTTGTAATGTTGAACCAGATCTGAGAGATTCAGATCAAAAGAAGGCCTCAATCAATATATATATATATGTCTATTCTTCGCTTGTGTTCCCTCCTTAAAACAGAGGTTGGCAGATTGTCAATACATCCATGATCTAAGCTGAGTTGATTTGCTTGCTCCTAGTACAGGAAGACCCAAAAATTAGCAAGCACCTGGGCTACAATGACACCACCATCGGATTCAACCCCTACGGCGATCTCTGGCGCAACCTCCGCTGCATCACCACCATCCAGATCTTCTCCTCCGCCAGCCTCCACCACTTGTAATGTTGAGCCAGATCTGAGAGATTCAGATCAAAAGGAGGTCTCAATCAATATATATATATATATGAAATTGTTTTCAAAAGAAGAAAACCATGGTTTTTTCTTATTTATTTTTTTTCATGGTTTTTTCTTCAATTATTTTCTGTTAGTGCCTCTGTATGTTTATTTTCTTCTTCTTTCTTTCTCTCTCTCTCTCCTCGCTCTATGTTCATCCAGAAAGAGGGGAAACTCAGATTTTGAAGAGGGAGGGAGGAAAAAAAAAATCAAAAAATATATATATAGATATATGTATATGAAATTGTTTTCAAATATTGATATGAGTTTGAAATTTTATATGAATCTGATCTTTGAAATTTGAAATTGTTTTCCTTTCAAACCCACTTCGAAAACTTCATGAGTCTGATCTTGAAGTTTTCAAACCCACTTTGTTTTCAAATATATATATATATCCCCCAAAAAAAAAAAAACCTTCATGAATGAACCCACTTTGTGTGTTTAAAAAAAAAAACACAGATGATGAAGTGAAAGAGAGGCTGTGTTTCAAACCCACTTTGTGTTCTTCTTCTCTCTCTCTCTCTCTCTCTCTCCCCCTGCTTTCTTCTTCCCCCTCTCCCTTTTCTGATTCTGTGTTTTTGCGTCATTTTTTTTTTTGAAAATTTGCCCTAAAACGACGTTGTTTTGGGGCGCCGCAGGGACGTCCACAGAGAAACTCGACAGAGGATCCAAACTCTTTAATCTTTGGCCCCTAAAAATTTGGTCACTAAAAAATATTCCTGGTTGTACCATATTTGGCACAGTCAAATAGGAGGCTTCCATGTGGCACAAGGGGCCCATGAAAAAGGATTTGAGTTTGGGTCAATTTATGGCTTAAAGATCCTCTAGAGTATTATCTCTAGAGTCATCTCCTGCAGTGAAAGATAAGGAGCCGACACGTGACCACTCACCAAATTAAGGGTTGAGATTTAAACACACCAAAACAACACTGTTTTGGTGAGTAATTTGAAAATAAAATAAAATAAATAATTCAAATTTCTTTTGTTTGTTTTGGGTTTCACTTCTATCACTGACCCATTTCCTTAACCTAACCCCACTTCGGCATAGCCTCCCTCACTGGAGCTCTCCTAGTCGTCGCCCGCCCATTCTCAACGATTCATCGCCTCCTTCGTCCTCGCCGTCTGCCGCCCACATCGCTTTTCTCTTCCTCTTTTCATTGTCCTCCCCTTAAAGCAATGGTGCCTTTTGTGATACAGCAGAAAGAAGGACGGGACTTGAGACAAGAACAACAAAACAAACATAAAGTGAGAGAAAGACAAGAAGAGAGAGAGAGAAGGAGATGTTACAGTTGGTGGAACAAAAAAATTCTTCGTTTTTACAGATCGAACATGAGAGAAAAGGGACTGAGAAGTAACTTCAATTGATGTTCTTAGATTAACCTCAGCATCACCAATTCACTGATTTTCTTCGTCATTATCAACCAAACCCATCAAAAACTTTCAAATCAACACTCATTCAGAGTCTATTTCCTCATAAATTCACGTGGGTTTGCTTCCAAAAAAGCTCTCTCAGCATCAAGGTATATAAAACCTATAGAGGTTTTGAGTGTTTCAGGATCTGTAAAATTTATGTTTCTTAGATACCCACTAAGAAATAGTTTATATTTGACAAATTTTCTTTTCTTTCGTGTTATTTTATTTTTCTTGGTTTGTGAATGATATACTTGGAATGTTCAGAAATTTGATTTGGGTATTTTACAAAGTTTTCATTTTCGATTGTTGAAAACAGTCAGAAATCAATGTTTTAAAAGGATTGAACCAAACTGGTGGTGTGTAATTAAGAGAAGGTTTGAAGTTGAAGATTTTTTGGTGGAGGAAGGAGGGGTGGCGGTTAGTGGAAGAAAAACAAGCTGGAGATGGCTCCGGCGGTTGAGAGAGAGAGAGGAATCTGACGGTGCTGGCAGAGAATCCAAGTCCCTTTCTCACTCTATTTTTGTTTTGTTGTTCTTCTCTCTGTCTCTCTCTCTCTCTCTCTCGGTGATGGAAGTGAAACCCAACAACAAAAGAAATTTGAATTTTTTATTACTTTATTTTTTTTTCAAATTACTCATCAAAACGACATCGTTTTGGTGATTTTATATCTTAACCCTTGGTTTGGTAAGTGGGCCACGTGTCGGCTCCTTGTGTTTCACTGTAGGAGATGACTCTAGGAATAATACTCTAGAGGATCTTTACGCCAATTTATGGGGCCTAGGTTTGATTTCGGGTCAACCCATATACCAAGAAAACCATTGACTTGAGAAAGATTAAAGGTAAAATAAAAGGTGGCTGTAGGAGGTTGTTGGTGGTTGGTACGCAAAATATTTTATTTTTCCTCAGTATGACTACAGGATAGATAGAATGAAAGCAGGGCTGCCCTGGGCATAGACCCACCACAGGTCATGACTTATGACCCCTTAAAATAGATCATAAAGGGCCCCTCCTATTATAGTTTAGTATAATATATTAGATATGTTAAGTTCAAAAAAAAAAAAAAAAATCCAAACTAACTTAAAATAAATTAACCCATTAAAAAATTAAAATGTCCATTAGAAGGGCCCATTCTCTCTCCCTATCTAATTCCAAACCCTAACTCTTAATTCAATTTTCTCAGAAATTTGAGAGAAGTGGCACAATAGAGCACTAACGAATTTCTCGAGAATTAGAGCGAGTATGATTGATTTATTTGCTTCTAAAAATGCAAGAAGAGCGAGGATCAAGTGATATTTATTAATTGTAATGTAATGCTAAGTATTTTCATATCCTAGTTAAAATTACCCGCCAATACATTTTCATTGTGTGAGACAGACAATTACCCGCCAATACATTTTCATATCCTAGTTAAAATACATGCAAATTCAATTCATATGACAAGCTAATTAAGTAAATTCTTGTCAAACTAGGGAGAAAAAAAGATAATTAACCAATCAAATAAACTAATTAACTAGCAAAAGGCTTTTCAATGGAAAAATTTTCACTATGGGGAGTATGTAAACCAATCAAAGATAGCAACCATTTGAGTCAAAATCAAAGCCATAAATGCACACCCACAACCATACAAACAACACCAATATCTTTTCCTCATTAAGAACGTGGATAATATATCTATCCCATAATCCACACCTTAAAGCCTTACCACTAATAGCAGTTCCCACCATCGTTTTGTGAGGGCCCAATTCCAATCCACTATCATAGAAAGAAACAAGAAGGCAACATAATTAATATCATATCTTCATACAAAGAAATACAATGACAACATAATTAATGCTTCATCACTCTTGCAACTGTAACTCTATTTCACTTTTCTGGCATAGATTTTCCATCTCACAGAATTTAAACTACTAAATGCAGTTTGAAAGTAACAGTACATGACAAAGTACAAGCAAACAAACAAACAAATCCTTTATTATAAGAATCCAAATGGAAAAGCCATAACAACTTCCCAAACCAACAATTCATGGAGGGCCAAAGAAACAGAGTGAACTCAAAGTAGAAGAAGAGAAATAGAAAGCAAAAATATTGATAAAAGCCATTAATGGGAAGCTAGAATTAGAGCAATAAGTGAATGACCCAATAGAGTATTATGCATTAGAAATCATACCTTCTGACTATTACGCATTAGAAATCATATCTCCAATGGATGAACGAGAACTATCTATCACAATGAATCATTAGGCATTCCACCTTTCTTCACAAACTTTTCTTTTTTAAAAAAGCTTTTTTTTACAAAAAAGAAAAAGAAAAAAAAAGAAGATAGATTTTTTAAAAAGACCTATTGAAGTCGGGGCATAGTAATACAATATTGCATTTTCCTTTTACCCATAAAAAAATAATAAAAAAAATAAAAGAGTAACTTACCTTTTTAGAAAGGTTGCAAGCCTTCAATCTCAGAACCCTGGAGAAGTCATGGATTTTAACATGTCCACTGTGCAAAAGGACGAAAATACAGATAAAGTTGTCTTGCATTGCCACCAATTAAAACACTATTGATATAACATGAACTTAGATGTCTTTGGACAAACTCAAAAAGAAACTAAAGCATTTTAGTGTTGTAGAATTCAATTAGGACAACATGTATCATATTTAGATGTACAGTATGAATGTTCAGTTTAGAGGCAGTACAGTATATTATTGTGGTCACAATAACAAATAACTTGAGCTCACATGTACTCAAATAATGTGTAAAACAAAAAAACATAATATTCACAGCAACAACAGGTTTATCCAGTACGACTAATATACAACACACTGATGTTGGAGAATAACCAGAAGCACTCATGATTAGCATCAATTCCAAACTTTCCGGGGACTTGACATATGTAGAAAAAATGAAAAGAAGCAATACCATATTCTTTCAGATTAAACAATGGCATATCTAAAATGATTTGATGCAGCCACCAAAAAGCCCACATTTGCATCATTTGCATGGATGCAACATTAATTCAATGGAAGCATTTATTTTCTAAAATGACTTCAATTTTCTAGAAAAAAAATAAAATAAAAAATACACAAGATAGAACAAAGAGAAAAGAAAAGAAAGAGAAAGAAAACCCTCATCACTCATCCATGATTCAAACACCCTATCCAATAATCTTATGTTAGAGAATGAAGGAAAGTTGACAGCATTGCGCAACTTGCATGAGGTAGGCATGGTGGCATCTAACAGCCAGATGAACAACTCGAACAACTTTAATCAGAAGTGTAATAATAATTGTTCCTAGCGAAGACAATCAAGGCATACATGACATATAAATGTAAAATATGAACATTACCAAAATTAACAATTCACGCCAACATATCTGGAATTTGGATTCATGGAAAGAAATGTATCCAGGAAGTCCATAGCTTCCAAACTGCTTAAATGGAATGTCTAGCAAACAAGAGAGGTAAATCCAATTCAACATTCCTTTCAGTTGGGTAATTACTATGAAATTGGAGGTAATCCATTCACAATGAACTAGAATACTGTATACAAAGAGATGAATTTGATTCAAAGGATCAATACAAAGCCTTTGATTGCACATCAGATTACAAAAAAATTATTGCCTTTTATCTTTTCAGAAATATTTAAGATAATCTGTGGTAATCAAATTATGTGAAACTTTTCCCCGCCCCTGATTGCTTAAATAGAGCAACAGATTGCTTAAATAGAACAACAAAAGTTTGGAATTAAACACAACTTGGAGCTCATATGTGCTTCAAATGTAGAAAAAGAGTAAAACCCTAAAATGATTTTATCAAAATCCTACAGCATAAAAAATAAAATAAAACCCTAGATCCGAGATGGTGAAATGGGGAAATAGAGGGAGAGAGAGAGAGAGAGAGAGAAAAACCTGAATGTGGCTGGGAGGGGGGCCGCGATGGTGAGCGACGGTGGCGAGAGCCGCAATGGTCAGCGGCGGTAGCGAGAGCCGCGATGGTCGGTAGTGGAAGTTCGATGGTAACTGTTAGCAGGGATGGTGAGGGTGAGGTTTGCTAGTGTTTGACACAGAAGTGTATAGCGTGTGTCTGTGTGTGTGAGAGACAGAACAGAGTGTAAATAGATCGGGCGCCAAAAATAATTTGTTTCCCTCTAAAACAAATATTACAACCTTTGGCGACTAAAGATATTTTTGGTCGCCAAATAACAATAAAATTCTTTTTTGGCGACTAAATTTTTTTTTTGTCGCTGAAAATAAGCATTTGGTGACTAAAGTTTTGGTCGCCAAAGGAAAAAAAAAAATTATTTTTCATTCGGCAACTAAATGATTTAGTAGCCAAAACTCAACATACATCGACTAAAATTTTTTTTTGTCACTGAAAATAAACTTTTGGCGACCAAAATTTTGGTCGCCAAAGGTAAAAAATTAATTTTTTATTTTTCTTTTGGCGACAAATGATTTTAGTAGTCAAAACTTAATATACGGCGACTAAAATTTTTTTTGGTTGCCAATTCTAGCATTTTTAGCAACTAAATTTTTTTTAGTCGCCAAAAACCAATATACTCCGACTAAAAAAATTTAGTAGCTAAATATTTTACTTTTGGTAACTAAAAAAATTAGTTGGTCGCCAATTTCATAACTTTTGGCGACTAAATTTTGTTAGTCGCCAATTTTGGTCGCCGAATGTGCATCTTGTTGTAGTGGTAGTTCGAGGGAGAAAAGGCGCAATACTCAAGAAATTACAGACTTACATCACTATCGCGCTGAATTATTCTACACTGTTTTGGATATGCAAATTCAAAAACTAAATGCTCGTTTCACTGAGTCAAACACTGAGTTGTTACTTTGTGTGGCACATTTGAATCCATTTAACTCTTTCTCTAGTTTTGACAAGAACAAGTTAATTCATCTTGCCGAATTTTATTCCAAAGAATTTTCTTAAGTGGAGCTCATAGTACTTAATGATCAACTTGATATATATATATATATATATATTATCAATATGCTATCCAGTAGTGAGTTTTCAAGGTTGAATAGAATTGTCGATCTTGCTAGGAAAATGGTGGAGATTGGAAGAGACAAAGTATATCCATTGGTGTATTTGCTCTTGACTTTAGCATTAATTTTACGTGTTGCAACTGCTATTGTTGAGAGGGTATTTTCAACTATGAATATTGTGAATAATCGGTTGCGGAACTGAATGGGTGATGAATGGATGAATGATAACTTGGTTGTTTACATTGAGAGAGATATTTTTGATGGCATTAACAATTATACTATTATGAAAAGATTCCAAAAGATGAAAACTCATCGGGGTCAATTGTAAAAGTTTAAAATTAAATTTTTTTGTAATGAATATTAATTTTTAATGTTTAACATTAGCTCGAAAAATTATTATTATGTTATTGTTATTGATTGGGGAAGAAAAATTTTGAGATTGTAATTAATAAGTGCCCCTATATTAAATTCATGGCTCTGCCACTGCTGGTAATGGTTAATGGTGGTTATGGTTGAAACGGTCGTCTATTGGAGAGAGAGAGAGAGAGAGAGAGAGAGAGAGATGGAAAAAATATATATAGTAGGAAAATAAGAGTTATAAGGATATTTTTTGCAATTTATGTCAAAACTTTTCCTTACCTTTCCTTATCTTTAGAATTTGAATACTTGGGAACTTTATCTAGCAACTAAATTTTTAATGTCCTTAAATTCCTGCATAAATATTTAGAGGGATGTTTATCTAATGTTCTCAAAAAATTAATAATTTTTTTTTTATATATATAAAACAATATTGATAGTTAGACTTTTGTGTAAATTATGGGGGGGAAAAAGATTGAGACCAATAATTTGAATCACAATTTTACCATAATGACATGCCAACTTATTTGTCAACTTTTTATTTGTGACAAATTTAATTATGTAATTTTTAGCCCCTTTGCTAGAGTTTGAAACTTGGGTGAGCTCAACCTAAGCAACCTGAGTTAAGCTTAAATTTTTTTTAACATACTTTTAATTCGGCAAGGACTTAATATATAATTTTATATATTTATTATATGTTATATATATATGAATATATCATTCAAAGATAATAAAAAATGCAATATGACACTAATTCTTATAAATTTATATGGTTTTTATTTTATTATTGTATCTTAAGTTATTTTGTTCAAACTTATAATTAGTTTTACGTATGTCTAATCGTTAGACACGTGTGTTTAAACGATTGACACGTGTGTCCTTCAAGTGTCCAAAGAGTGTCCAAGTCTTTAAACAATAGGACATGTTTTGAAGAGTGTCGGACACGTGTCTTGAGAGTGTCCAAAGAGTGTCGGTGTCCGACACGTACCCGATACGGATACGTCACCTTCCTAGAAGTGTCCGTGATTCTTAGGATACGTGGATATGTATCTAAATTTAGATACGGATATGGGGATACGTTAAATAGTTTTTTTTTTTTATAAATATATTTATTTTATGAAGATGAGTTTAAAAAAAAAAAAGGAATAAATAACAGATTTTGTTAAATAAAACAAATAAAATATAAATAACAAATAAAAAAATTATAAAAATTATTTTAGATATAAAATAAATTATATTCTATATGATGAAATAAGTTATTTTTATTTTAATAAAGATGTTGGCCAAATACAAAACACTAAAAAACTAAATAGGCCCAAACTTATTTTATTTAGGCCCAAACAATTAATAAAGCCAGAATAAAACACCATAGGCTCAAACAAAACAAGGCAGATACAAAACACTAAATAGACCAAAACTTTTATTTTATTTATTTTGGTCTAGCCCATTAGCCAAACCCAACCCTAGTGAATGCTCTCCAGCTGTGTATAGCTAGTCAAACTCTCTCTCTTCTCTCACATTTTTTCTCCTCTCTCATCTCTCTGAAATACGCACAGTAGAGTTCAAAAAAAAGAAAAGAAAAAAAGAAGAAATATGTACAGCACGATCGAATCGAAGCTCTCTTCTCTTTCTTCTCTTTTCCACTTGGTGATTATGACTCTTTCTCTCTCTCTCAATTCTATCTCTAGATGATGTGGTTATTATAGCCAACATTCACTCGTCGATGAAGTTATGATCCAACAAATCTAGATCTCAAACCCAACACGTCCATGTAAGTATTTCAATCTTCTTCTTCCTTTTCGATTAGCCATGTTCGAGAGAGAGGAGCGAATCTGACACAGATCCCATATCCGTACCCGTGTCGTATCGACACGGGTATTTCGCCTTCAACTGCCGAGTCCATGTAACACAGGTTATATCTGATCATGTGACAGGGTATTTAGGGCATTTAAAAAACTTTAGTTGATGGCATAAGTTAAATCTATTAGTTGACTTAACAGTAAGTTAACTAACGGAGGGGTTTTTTTGTAATGTAGTTACAAACTTCAGGGAGGGAATGTAATTTGTAGAACTACATGTGTCTTATTGTATTAGTCTGAAACTTCAAGAGATGCCAGTATAATTAACCCAATTTTTTTAAAAAAAGAAGGTTTATTCTGCTAAAATTTTAAGTTTTTTTTTTTTTTATAATAATGTTTGAGACTCCTTTTTTTAGGAGTTTCATGACCTCCAATGTGATATTGACCTTTGATGTATATGTAAAATTTACTCATGTATATACAAACTCCATATTATAATTGGTTGAAATGAGAGTGAGATTATGGGAATTATGTATGTGTGGGTGTCAATCACAATTGTTTTTTTTAATCCCCTCAAAAAGAAAAGGCACATGAATTGTAATCTCCACGCGCCTCCGAAATCCGTGAAACACACTTCGTTCGAGGAACAAGTAAAACCCTAACCTTCTTGAATCTTTTACCGCTCTAATTTTAGGGTTTTGTTCAAACTCAAAATCAGCAGAGGAAAATGGCGATTTTTGCCGGGAACTTTGTCTGCAAAGCATCATTTGGTCTTCAATGTCGAGCCCTATTGATTCCCTGGTGAGAAAATCTTCAATTTTCCAAATCTCCTTTCATTTTCTTGTTTGATTTCGGAGAATTTGTCGGAAAATCAAAAGAAATTGAACCCAATTTAACTTCCTGGTTTTACTTTACTATACTTATGACTTCTCAGCACCCAAACAACATGTCAAAATTTCGGTCAACAAAAAGTTCAATGAAAAGTGGAGTATGTATATATGTGTCTGTGTTTTTTTCTTATGAGAAAGATTGAATTTTTAGGATGAAGAAGGGTTGTGGCATTGGCTGTTCGAGTGGTAGAGCAATATCTTCTTTCATTTTCTTGTTTGATTCCTGAGAAATTGTGGGAAAATCAAAAGAAATCGAACCCATTTAACTTCCAAGTTTTACTTCAGTATTCTTATGACTTCTCAGCACCCAAACAACATGTTAAAATTTCTGTTAATGAAAAGTTCAATGAAAAATAGAGTATGCATGTGTTTGTGTTTTTTCTTATGAGATAGATTGAATTTTTAGGATGAAGAAGAGTAGTAGCATTGGGTGTTCGAGTGGCAGAGCCAATAGTTCTTCATTTCCAGTTAAGTACATTCCCAAGAAAACTTTGAAGAAGGAAAAACCTGAAATTTCCAAGAAAACATTGAAGACTGAAAAATCTCAGACTGAAAAACCTCAGACTTCTTCTACATCCAAGAAGGCACCTGAGAATAAAGTAATAAAAAATGGTTCGGACCATAATGCATTGAGATTTGAGGTTCATAATGATGGCAAGAGTTTACAGAGGAGCTTTGTGTTGGATAAAAACTCACAAAATCAAAATCAAAATCAAATGCCCATTCATTACTTAACCTATCATGCCAATCAAGGTAAAGTTGTAATTTTTTTTTCTAGTTTTTTTGTTACTTGAGTATTTAAATTAGCACAGTGCCCTTTCAAACTATTATTCTATTTCAATATTATCAATTGTTTGCACATATGAAATAAATAAATAAAAATTGAGCAATATTTCTCAGAATTGAAGGAAGAAACTGATTATGACGAGGGAGTTGTGGATTGTGAATCCATAGAAGAACCTAAGGAGGTTGTAGAGGAATTGGAGATTCATTGGGAGAAGAACCCTCACTATCAGGAAGCATTACAAGGTGTTAAAACTAATAAACAAGATGCAGAGAAGATGGCAATTGAATTACTTGCAACAAGGTTAGTGTATCATTTTGGTAATATATTTGTGAGTCTGGTTTGTTAATTGATGTATATTATTGATTGATGAATTGATATATATTCTGTCTATTACAAATGGTTCCTTATATAGATGTAGGTGTAGTGGATGGTGGTAGTGGTGTAGTGGGTTAGGTTTAGTGGAGTAGGTGAGGTGGTAGTGGTGTAGTGGGATAGGTTTAGTGGAGTAGGTGAGGTGGTAGTGGTGGTAGGTGATAGTAAATTCTAACAGCCCCCCGCAAACTCAAGGAGGATAGAAACTAACCAACTTGAGTTTGAAGAGAGAAACAAAACAAGAAAATACATAAAAATAAAAAAGGATAGGAGACACTGTATGGTCGTGTCAGACCGTTGGTGAAGACACTGAATGGTTGTGTCATAACGGTGTAGAAGACAGTTTACGGGGTCATGTCGGACCGTTGTAGCAGACAGTTTACGGGGTCATGTCGGACCGTTGTAGCAGACACTATTGTGACAGTTGTGGTGATAGTTTACGGAGTCTTGCTGGACCCTTGTAGAAACTAACCGGAATCAATGTCGGGACAGTTTACAGAGTCTTGTCGGACCCTTAAAAAAGTCGCACCCTCAAAAGGTGTGCCCAATCGGACAGTTTACAGAGTCTTGTCGGACCCTTTAAAAAATCGCATCCTCAAAAGGTGCGCTCAATTTTTTTAAAAAGGCGTGCCATCAAAAGGCGTGCCCAATTTATCAAAAAGTGCGCCGGACATGATGGCGAGGCACGTGAGTGTCTTGGTTGGCGTGCCCGTTTGTCGTTTGGCATCAAGTGGCGCGCGATACGCGTGGCTGCCCTGTCGTCATGGTCTTTATAAGCGGAGGCTAAGGCTGAGGCAGAGGCGGAGACAAAAAAACTTGCGAGAGATATGCTGAGAGAGATTTCTGAGAGAGATATTCTGTAATACTCTGTTGTCTAGAAAATGGCTTCATCGTCTTCCCGCGGGCTGCTCACCCTCTTTCCCGACCTCAACGAGTCAACAAGAGAGAGAACTGGTGCGGTGGCACTGGAAACTCAACCAAGCGCCCCGGAGTTTGCTCCGTTGAACTTTCCGATGCGGTCGGTGGAGCAAAAAATGGCAGGGCAGTCTGATATTGAGGCCAATCAATATACACTGAAGTCATGTGTGGAAACCATGACTGCG